GCCAATCAATGACTCTCTCATCATTGATATTTCCATCTCTCTCTCTCCCTCTCCTTTCCTCTCTCTGAAATCAATAAAGATATATTTTAAAATTAATTAATTAATTAAAAAATAAAAGGTAATACAAGTAAACCAAACTATGTTACCAATGAAAAAGACAACCAACTGAAGATGATAGGGAAGATAAAAACTAAGTGACTTTGGAAAACTTTTTTCACCGTTTACTGTAAGGCTACAGACAAAAAGAACTGTCACAGAAATAATTTTCTAGTTAGTAAATTTGTTTCTCACAAGTGTGTAGTTTAGAAATTCTCACACTACTACTACCACCTCCACTCCTAAAACCACACATACACACACACACCCCCCCAAGAATGAATGAGAAGGAAAAGTATTTGGAATAATGAGGACAATGAGAGCCACGATTCTTACTGTCAGAAACAAAGATACAAATAAGAAAATGCACTCTGTGGTATTAGATGAGAATTGGAACTCATGGTTTTTATAGGTAGGTAAGTAGTTAGACTGACAGATGAGACTGAATAGATGTTAATGCATGTGTGGTAAACAAACATGTATTTCTTAGTTCTATCCACTGAGAGGTCCTAGAAGCAATGACAACCAGTACCAATGAATACAAGTACCCAGATCTTGGTTTCTAATACCATTCTCTAATAAATGAACTAGGGCTCCTTAGAAAAATAATTCCAGAGTTGGGGGCAGATAAAATACATGATGAGCTTGGAACATCTTGTGATGCACTCAAAAATGATGGGAGGCACATCAGAGGGAATCAGGTACCAACCTAAAGAAGCTCCCAATGGCCAAAGATGGGAAAACTTGTAAACAATAGATTATAACCCAGAAATAAACTAAATATCTGTGAGTCCACAATGATACAAATAAATAACTGAAGAAATAAATAAATGGTGGAGAATGGACAGCTTCTCCTTATTGTAGCATTCCAATAAAATATAGAAGGAATGATGGAAATAGAAATCATCATTAGACAATCTCCACAGTATACCTGTTGCAGGTATATCTACCCAAGGATGCCAAAATTAATGGATGAGAATATAATGAAAAATAGAATATTTGCATATTTCAAAGTACCTCCCTATAAAATATTTTTAATTAAAAATTAAAAATACTACCTTTGCAGTGGAAAAATATGGCAGACACCACTTTACCAAAGTTAACATCAACTGTAATAAGATATATTATCATACATCCTCTGATAACATGCTCTGAGAAGTATATAACCATACTTCTGTGATATTCCTGCCAAAAATGAGTAACTTTAATCTAATTATGAGGAAGCATCAGACCAATCCAAATTTGGGGGCATTCTATAAAATAACTCATATTGTTTAAAACTATCAAGGTTATGAAAGTAAAAAACAGACTCATTAAATTGTGTAAACTGGAGGAGACTGAGGAGAAATAAGAACTGCATGCAACGTGATGTCCCTGACTGGATCCGGGGCTAAAAAACAACAGGACATTAGTGGAAAAGAGGCAAAGCTCAAGTAAGGGCTATAGATTAGTTTCCTGCCTCTGATAACTGTACTATGGTTCTGTGGTATGAAAGTATAGATGAGGGTAGATATATGGAAACACTCTGTATTATTTTTGCAGCTTTTCCTAAATATAAGATTATTTCAAAATTAAAATTTTTTTAATTTCATAATACAACATTACAAAATACCATAAAAATTAAAATTCAATCAATTTCTTCTTATAACTAAGCAGTGGCAGCACTTCTTTAAAATCTCAAAGAGTAATAAAGAAGGAATACAGTTTGAAGGAACAATACCACCTTGGTCATTCACCCTACAATCCTATGCCTAGCAAATTAAGCTTAGCATTCCAAGGAAAGAAGAATCATGACTATACCACAAACAAACCACACTTTCTGCCTCCAACTCAAGCTTTTTCAATGCCAATATCCCTATCAGTTATAAATGACAGTAAGATAAAATTTACAGCATACGATAATCATTTATAATTGTAATTCTCATTTCACAGACAGTTTTGTCATTTTGAACAAGTGCAATTTACATAAACATATTATCAATCAATTAATAAGACAAAAAAGAAAACCATCCCACGGTCATAAAGACATGGAGACAAACAGGAAGCTCAGAACCCTGTTGTAGTATTGTATATAATGAGCTGATTAAACAATCTGTAAGGAAGCTAAAAGGTAAGAAGAAATCAAAGTAGGATGAATAGTTGGGAAATTCAACCTTAACATAAATGGGAAAAGAACTCCTTGGCATTTATAAAAAATGAAAAGGTGTCTGTATGTATACACAGAAGATTCCATATACAGTAATAAAATCAGCCTGGGTATTTAACCACTGACTGGCAAGCATCTCCCTATATTAGTCACACATACTTTCTACTACATCAGGGATCAGTAAACATTTTTGGAAAAAAGCCAGACAGTAAATATTTTTAGAGCTGTGCAGGCCATATAGTCTCTGTCACAACAAATCTACTCTGCTATTGTAGCATGAAAACAGCTACTGATAATACATAAATAAATGAGCATAACTATGTTTGACAACCCTATATTAGACTGCTTATCCTTTTAGTAAATTTCAATTTGGGATATAAAACTAAAAGTCAAGGTGCTTAGGTAACCCTGGTAAGCTTAACAATATCCACTGCAGGCTCTTTATAGAATTTCTATATTTGATTTGAATGTCATCAGACTTCTCACAAGGTATGTGGTTTAAAATGCATTTTGAGCCCTGGCTGGGTAGCTCAGTTGGTAGGAGCATTGTTGCGTACACCAAAAGGTTGTGAGTTTGATTCTTTGTCAGGGCACATACCTCGGTTATGGTTTCAATCCCTGGATGAGGTGCTTATGGGAGGCAACCAATTGATGTTTCTCTCTCAAACTGATCTCTCTCAATAAAAAATTTTAATGCATTTTGAAGATACTAAGTTTTGATATTTTGGTGCTTAAATGGAAGCAAATGAAATTAAGATGTTATTAACTTTAAACAGTGGTGTGCTCTCTCAACAATCAACTAAAAATAAAGATTGTAAATTACAAAAAACAAGTCTTTAAATGCCAAACATGATGGAAGAAATTCTACATATATATTAGTTTCAATAATTATCTTCAAGACTTTTAGAAAATACAAGTATTATGAAATCTGGACTGTGTCAGGAACAAATGCTGTTTGAATTTCAGTGACAGAATCACAGCTGGTGATTTGCAATATGCCAATAACATACAATTCTACAGCTTTCTTTTAAACCAAAATTTAAGTGCCAGGTGCAGATATGAAGTAATTTTGTGCTAAATTGGGAAGGATATATAATTTTAGCAAATCTACTCTACAAGTAAACATATAGTAATATAGCAAAAGAAAATGAGACCTTCACAAAAATATCACCTATTAAAAATCTCTATCATGCCCTTCAAAACAGTAAAAAAATCTGCTTTTAAATTTGTGAAGCATGACTCAAATTCATATTTTAACAGATGGATTCTTCACTGCTGCCCATGAAGTAGACTGTTTTTGAAAGTTCACTTTTACTTTCAATAGTTATTACTTAATCTCTTCTGATCCTCTCACCTATCAAGTCTCC